ATAAAGAAAGCTTCTTATTATCACAGGGCCTTGGATTTTTCTCTGGATTGGGTACTTTGGCCTTTCTTTTTCCGTACACTGGGAAATAATTGTGAACATAACGAATTTAGGGTTTGTTATCAGTACTGAGAGCACTGAACTCACTGATCGTTGCCACCCACAAGAGCTGCTAACTTGGTAATTGAAAGATATTCCCGAAGGCACTCGAACCGCCGAACTCGCAATCCCATCCTTAGACTTTCGTTCATGTCACATGTACCCGTACCTCTCATTTTAACATTTATTACCCTCCCACACACACATCTCAGTCTTTCAGATCTTTAGACGATATCAGCGTGTGGCTTTTGGAATTCACACAAGAGCCTCGCTAATGCCACTGATGGACACCAATTGTTAATCCACTAGGCGGAGGTATAATGAATCACCTGTGAGGTTCAGGAGCATAAATGTGTCAGACAACAGGCGTCTTCGGTAGCCCAGCCTGTAGAGCACCCTAGGGCAAGGGAATAACTTATTAGACTAGATTTATCTTTTCGTTCACACTACGTGCATCTGGACTCTTTAGTTCAAAGTTTATCGTTTTCTTTTAGACAGCGCCGATCCCAGTTTAGACACTGCTACTTACTACTTTCTGCTGCCAGGTGTCGCGGTGACCTAATTTACCATATAAACCTCTGAACTCAACCTCACCTCTTGGTCATTAGAGTGATTTTTCTCGACCTTCTCATGTTATGCTTGCTTGTGAGCACGTATCTCCTGCACTCCATAAAAAACCGTTCAGCTGTAGCACTCTTCCGGTGCCTAGCAGCCATGCCACCCGAAGGAAGCACGAGGGCTGGGATACTGCCAGGTTGCCCAAGCCTAGACAGGGGAAGTCGAGTGGTGGAGGTGGGATTCGAACCACGGACCTTCCGGTCAGTAAATTCGCGCTCTTACCACTTGGGCCGTCTCGCCCCATGTGGACATTGAAATAATTTTATTCACGAATTTCTACCCTATATATCAGTCAGGCAGTGGTGCTTCTGTCTTCTTGCTATCGTTATCATCTCTAGATATCTTGGAGAGGTGCTCAACCAACAGAAGGAGCGATGGGAACTTCAGCTCAAGGGAGCAGGTCCAACTCCATTCTCACGAAGTGCTGACGGACGGAAAGTTCTGCGTTCTAGCCTCCGCGAGTTTCTTTGCAGTGAAGTGAGTTTGTCCGTCTGTTCGACGACGTAATGTAATCTACTTTCTTTGGAAAATGTTCTCAATATCGAGCCTGAAAGCAAACTACGAATAGGTAACTCGCGAGGAGGCACTGACTTGCGCTCCAAACACCCGTGATATCACCTAATTGATGAGGGATATCGGACAACTCAGTACCGGTTTTGCCCGTAGTGGGACTTGTCAGTATGTCTAGTCCTCCGATTTTCATCATTTTTCGACACTCATTTGAAGGTCAAACAGTGCTGACAGGAGACTCGACTAAAACTCTCTCTTAGACTACGCGTAACGTATTTGGCCTCCACTTCGTGGCTAGCCGTGCCTTGCCTTAGTAAGACCGACATTGAACGAGCCTACGACCCTAGTGCTTTTATACAAAATGCTTCGGGGTCTGATGACAATTGCGCGCCGCGTTTGCCCGTCGAATTAGCTGTCCATTATCCTGTCCTAACCCTGATATCTACTGTATATAAATACCCGACGACATACGCGAAATAGTTTCATTCAATCTATCCGGTTGCGCTTCTTTTTGCTCTCATAAAACTCATAAGAATAGCTGGATGCATAAAATTTCCAAATTTTACTGGAAGACTCGGGACAAGACCTAATTAATGAGTCTAATAATGGTAGTAGGTTGTCCAAGAGTTTTCATGAACCCTATAATTAGTTCGACGAATTCGCGAGTACATGTAGGAACAACGAGACTATGGAAGCAGGGACCAATTCGTCATTCAGATTCGTTCCTTAGCAAAACAAGAGGTAACACGGAAAATGAACTTCCCATGATACATTTTCTGCAAACAGCTGCACCTCAGTGGCCGGACATTCCTATTATGTACCCTTAGACAGTCCGGAATCGCTGCAACCACCAACCATTCGTACTTATGAGCGGCCGACTGTTGTTGCCATTTGGTATCAAGTTTTTGGCACATCTTTTAGATCGAGACCAACCACCACCCGGCAGTTGGGGTGGTTTTGAAGCCAAATTGCTTATTACGCCGTAGTTGAACTTGTTCCCAATGGAAGACTATCACTTGGCGACAAGTGAGATTACTTTGATGTACAATGCGCATATCGCTAATTGTAGTAGTTATCTGACAACTGTGATGAAAACCACTCTTATTATTTCACCTTAAGGTATTGCATGTTTGACTCTGTTGACCGCGAATCACTGCGGGCAACCCTACCAGATAAGTGTGCGCTGCGAAACTCGTGAGACTTTTTAATGCGCGCCACTCATCAGTGAAATCCCAAGTCCATGTATATGGTCAAGGAACCTCTTTTGGTATCATGTCTGATGTGCGATTGCTGACTGTTACCCGTGATCTCTAAGTTTACATTCTACTGATCACCAGAACGGGAATTGGAGGGATACTCTGGTGACACTGTCCTATTGTGCGAGATATGGGCATCATAGCCTTTTACTGACTCAGCGAGTTGACAAAGCTCACTTTGGTGATTTGGACCTTTGAAAAACCGGGCCTCAATAACTGCATGAACACAACAGTCTTTGGCATAACTACTCTTTACAATGCGGTATTCTACCGCCAATCACGCTGTTTGTTACTCCATGTCGTTCATTAGACCATGTACCACCTGGGTGTACCAACGACGCGTGCGTTAAGCGTGGTCACCTCTGACACAAGGGTACCGCGTGACGTGTTCTACACTGGCAAAGTAATTTTGGAGCGGGCTTCGATCACTGCTCGTGTGGCACCAACTTTCATAAGGTGAGTTCGTTTCACACATTTCAGTTAGCTGGGGTAGTCACATTTTCCACATTCTTTGTGTCAATTTCTTTCGGAACCGGTATGATTATTTGGGGCTTGCATCCCTTGATCGCTTTCCGATATACCTCTACTCCCGCTGTAACTCAAGGGTTGCGTGTGACAATGTGTTTTGCGGACGTAATGATTCATTAAGAGAGATGCTGCCGGTGGCTTGTATATGGTTAGCAGCATTTCTGCTGTCCTTATTTTTCTGGTCAGGGGCAGAGAACCTGTCGCTAAATCAACAGATCGAGAACTATGAGGTTTTCAAGCTGAAAAGTAAATGTGACCGTCGATTTTGATATCCCGGTTACCTGGTTTGAAGGTGTAAGGGATATTGAACCTATTGAAATCTCACAAACACCTCTTGGTCGTTACTAGTCCCGTTTTGTTCACGAAAATTTCGCAGACTGCAAGGCTTTTATTTGGAATGAACTATCTGAAAATGTTGTATGTTGTTCGTTTGGATGTAATAGCTCTCTACAAGATGTGGACGACGGGTTAAGCAACTTCACTCGTAGAAAAATTCATACCGGAGATAGTTGTCAACCGGTGTTCAATGACTGAGGCTTCTGTCATGTCTGATTCCAGCCTAGACTAGGTAATTAAGGTGTTTCATTTCAATGTCACTATCTCGCAATGATCTGCAGATACTATGTGTAATTCACCAACTGAGTAGTTCCCATCCCAACGTTTTCCGACATCTTTCTTAAAAAATAAGATTTGATAATGTGGATCTGTGTCGTTGAGGTGAACTTGTATGGAGGGATTATTGAAAAGTGTCTAACCCAGTTGACCTAAAGAGGATGTGCACCATGTCTAAATGGTTTACCGAGGAATCCTGTATGTCATACTTAATTCCAAGCTTACGGGAATTCCACACAGTCCAGTCTAGAAGTTTAGGGCAGATGACCAGGCGTAAGGAACGTACACCAAGGCGAAGCAGTACCGCCTAGATCCTTGAGAGGGCGTTGCCATGAGGATTGCACGGGAACGGTTTATCCCGGATGGAATCCAGAACTGCGGGTGTGGTTAAAGTCGAACAATAAGTCGAAAAACGAATAAAGAGCACACATGCAAGTTTCAAATGAAAGAACACGACATTAGTGAATAGGACTAGGTAGAGTGGGTGAGCGACACCAAGAGGCGAGTTAAAGGTGAAGCAAAAGGAATGGGTTGCAATCCAGACCGGGAGATTTTGATGCGTCAATGAACGCCTCTTAGTGGTAATGTGGGTAGGGACAGATGAGTGGTGGCTTATGGGTAAGGTGGGGCAGATTTTGGAAGAGGTGTGGTTGCAGTGGAGGCAAAAGACTGGACAAAGGTTTCAGATTTTCCTTATCATATGGATTTAATACCTTCTTGAGAATAGGACTGGGAGGAGAGACGGGTTGGCAGCCGACGGTCTTTTTAAGAAGCCAGCAGTTTCGTCAGACAATTGACCAGTCTCGTCGATCGTGGTAGTGCAAGAGTTCCGAGCGATTACCTAGTCGGAACGTGTATTTGGACAGAGGTGCGTTCGCCAACATTCATAAAATCGATTCGTTTTGCATACTGCTCGGCTTAGGAAAAGTGCAAGCTAAATTGCAGTATGTCACCACAAGGAACACAATATACTCGTTGATGCATTAGTTGAAATACAAATTCCCTGGAGATAACAGGTACATAAACTACGCATGTTGTCTAAGTTGACAGAAAGTGATGCGTGTAATAAGCGGAACTTAATTGCTCCAAGTGATCAGACGATGGTCAGATGAACAGATTGAGGTGGACAAACCGGCAGAGCATGAATCAGCATCAATACTTAAGGTCCGATCGATGATCGCCGTCACGGTCTTGGATTCCTGTTTTGAACAAGAATTTTGCAATTTCTAAATCTAAGCTCCAGGGCCTGCTGGGTCGAGTGGACAGACATAGTGTTGTGCATTGAAGTCGCTGACAGTGCACAGTCGAGCGGTGAGGCTTAACCGTGTGATAGCTTCGAAGTCTTCATTTGACAGAGAAGAAAGTTGTTCAACTTATTGCACAGTTGTCTTGAGTGGGATTACCACCATAATTTCATATGATGAAAGCAGTCTTGAGGGTTTTCTCTCGGTGCACTTCGAGCGCACTTTACCGGTACACAAGACTGGATTCCGGATGTTTGATTCTCCTGAGGGGGCTGTGATATCTTTGCAGAGAGTTTGCGCTCAGTAAACCACCGTTCTTTTCCGTTGAGTGGTAACTCTTATCAGGAGACTTGAAGCTACCGTCAATTAGTTGTGCAACGCATGGATTCTCTAGGCTGTCACGTTTACTATCAGGTTTTGCGTACTGTGCCATCCCTGTATTAACTCTTTCAGATTTGGATCCTTCGAAATTACAAAACCCTCGAGTTCGTCTCTTGAACGTCATGGTCCAAGCGTCGGTAATCGCACCATAGTTTCACAGTTGACCGCGTACGTGATTGAAAACTTCTACCCCGCTGTAAGTATAGTCAGTTCCCTAGTTGACATCAGCTCACGTAGGTGGTTGTTTCTAGTAGGAATGAGCTGTAAGTCTGCCATACCAGACTGGTTAGATCCGCACCACTGGAGACTGGGTTGACACAAACATGGTACCGCTCAACCCTGAAATACAGTTTTCTCATTACTCAGAGTCTGATTTACTTGGATTGATTACTGATGAAAACAACGTAAGAGCAGAGTTTTATAGCTCAACGTTGCGATTACGGCGGGTGACTCGTCGGGAGTGAAACACATCCTAATGGCTATTCCGATTAGTTCAATCCTGATGACGGTCACACGTAATATTCGAAACGTTGAGTTATAAAAATACGCTCTTGACGTTGCTTTTCCACAAATGAATCCGAATAAATGTCTTATACAACACTATCTATCTGAATACGGTGCTCACAGTCTCGGGTCCGATTTGCCCTTTTGCAGTGAACCCAGAAGAAAGACTTGAAGACCGACAGCTCTATACCCAGTTTTCACACGTTCTTCTCCCCTTTGATGCACACACAGCGCCCCCTCCTCCCCAAAGAGGAAATGGGCTTTTAGATCTCTTCGGGTAGGCTGCAACACCAGTACACCGGGAATGTCACAGAAAATGATGGAATGATTTCCAGACAAAACACTCCATAGTTTTCGACTCAGCCTGTTTCCAGACGTACATAGTATAACTTTTGTCGCATACTCCAAATACAAACACAAGTTTGAGATCAAAGCACACCGTTTAGGCTCACTTGTTGTCCGAACGGCGTTGTTTGGTGTCTAGCCTATATCTTGTTTTTTATGGGTCTCCCAATCGTAATCTAGAGTTGGTATCGGCTCACCAAGAATCTGCAGTGTCGTGCCCAAAAATCCCCCTCACCATTACCGGCCACTCGATAGTTAGCTTCCGTTTGGGGTTTAAATAGTCCAAGGTCACGCTACTGGCAATTTGTAACGCAGGCTTTACTTATCTGTCAGAAAACTGTCCTTACTATAAAGCCAAAATGGCTGGTATGTGCCGTATGAGCATCCAACTACTATCTATCAAGGAAGGTTAGTTTTCCATTTCAAACTTCCTTTGGCAGAAGGTTCTCGGGGGCGAGATGGCCCAAGTGGTTAGAGCGCGAATTTACTGACCGGAAGGTCCGTGGTTCGAACCCGACCTCCGCCACTCGACTTCCCCTTTCTAGGCTTGGGCGACCTGGCAGTTTCCCACCCCTCGTGCTTCCTCCGGGTGGCATGGCAGCTAGGCACCGGAAGGTTGTTACAGTTGAACGATTTATTATTATTTATTTAGAAGGTTCTCGGGGTGGAGGGTGGGGTACTAAATGAGAGGTTACATTCAAATGGAGTACTGTGGAACCTTCCGGCTTTCATGGCTGACGTCAACATGATTACTTTCGTACGTGGCTGGAGACTCAACAGCGCGTGTGGTCAGTGTGTCGTCACTTCCTGGTCAGACTACCTAGTTAATTTCTGTCTGTCCCGAGCTGAGCTTTTGTTGAATAAGACCCGCACCGTATGCTGGATCAATTTTGTTGATGAGGTCCTTCTCTGACATGGTGCTCATAGGTGTTTATTTCAGTGCTGGTTACTGCTGCTTCTGTTTCCGTTGGCATGCAACAAAATGACTGCTCGTGGCCGAATCTTGGGGCCAAAAAGGTGTGGTAGAGCTTTGGGATTTTGGCCAAATGTTGTCCTTTACAAAATTTACCACCCGGCTCTTTAACAGTTATTTATATTTACAGTAATTAACATGAACCTCTTCAACCGTCTTTCCGGTTGAATTTTCCCATAAATCAGGGACTTTGTCGCCTTTCTTGTGATGAGGAATGGCTCCCCGGTTAACAAAATCCCAGGCTGTTTATGGGAATGGGGTGGTGTCCTAGGGAGTAGGAGATCCCATAGAAATTTGGTGAGGGTGCTTGCTGCAAACTCTTCTGATTATGACCTTTTCAGGAAGGTGGTGTCTCTTTTGGGAGTAGGGAAATTATTGTATTTTGAAGGTAACTCACTCAAGCATTTGGCTCTGTTAGGTCTGAAGTCGTTCATTCTAGACACCATCGATTGGAGACCATACAAATATTATCTCTATGCTACGTTGCTTAGTGATGCCGTTTGCGTTTTTACTGAATGTTTTACTCTCCTATCGATGAAATCCCGTTGCGGAAGAGCAATCCCTGCAGTTGTCCCATGGATTATCCATCGGACTTAATTGTTGTTGACCCCCTCAGGTCCGTTGAGTCGGTCTCACGCTTTGGGATCTCATCTTCCTTTCCCTTTCAAGATGACCGTACGGTTACTAACTTGAAATTGTCGTGGGTTGCCTCCTAGAGGAAACTGTTATTATGTGCGTTAGAGTTAAGCCAAATGGACCAAGCTACACGGATCATTTTTTATGGCGAAATATCCCATCTCCAGCATTTAGCCCCGTAACTTAACCCGCACAGTTAACATCCCATCCAGAATTCATGAAGATATCAACCGGGCTATTCCTGGAAGTGTCATCCTTGGGAAGACGTACCTCAAAAGCGTTTAAATTGGTCCACGTCACTGGTCTATTATCCTAAATCAACACGTCTGCTGTATGTACTCCTTAATGATACCTGTGTTCGTCGGCAGGTACCCAAAGGAAACTAGCGTCTGGATACTTTCTGTCAGCGAGCATTCGTAAGACATAAATATACCGGAAAACTTCATTACCATGGTACTTGCTACCTCCCAAAAGTCCCTTTATTTCTTCTACTAGGCTAATGCGTGAACACGTTCAGCAAGCGCGTGCCTAGTTAATAAGCATTGTTGATATATGCATACGAAATGTTATAAACACGCCATTACTATACGCTGACCAGTCTGTTGGTTCTCTCAATTCCTCCTCACAGATTTGGCAAACACGGGATTCATCCAATCCGGTAACTCTTTATCTAGACTTTTTCGAGCAAGTGGTTAAAAGAACGGCAGAACTGGTGGCCTGTTGGCAAACCATCGGATTCTGTCACGGGTAACTATCTGATCTCTTTTACCTCTTCTGTTTTGTCTGATGAGCTTTTCCATTATTTTATGATGGTTAAAAGAACGGCAGAACTGGTGGCCTGTTGGCAAACCATCGGATTCTGTCACGGGTAACTATCTGATCTCTTTTACCTCTTCTGTTTTGTCTGATGAGCTTTTCCATATATTTTATGATGATGGACTCTTGTGTTGAAGATCTCAGTGCAACTTAGTGCTCTTTGGATGAATGACGTTATGACAAAATCAAGACCAGTCGTGTTTTCTCAATAGCTGAGTAAAATATAGTGCATGTCTTCCTTTTCGTCGTGCTTTGTATCTCGTTGAAGCCTCTCACCTCTGTTAAGCGAACTGTGGCCCGTTCTAAATCTCTTGCTGTCGAATTCCATTTCTCCGTGACTGCTTTTCCTTGCTCAACTATTGAACTTCACTATCCATTACAGCAAGAACTAAACCTTTGTGTATTGGCCGCTCACCTGCATCAAAGCGGCTGAATCTTTCTACTCAGCTCAGAGTCCACTTGTTCTCTCATCCTTGCTGTGTTCGTTACGAAAACCCTAATCCTTAGGGCATCATAGTCATTTGTAACCCTGGAGTTTGGGAAGAAATCTTTTCCAGAGAACAATTTTGTTGTTTATTGAGAATGATTAGGGAACAAGACCACAGTAGCTTCTCTTCTTTTCGATGAATTAGTGGTTGATACTGAAATGAAAAGCCTCGAAACACTCAATATCATCGATGAGTTCAAACAAGTAGGCAAATACCATCGCCCAGGCGAATGCGCGCATATTAGTATAGGTTTCGACGCTTTACGTTTGTTTTCGGGTATTTTCAAAAATCCCTCAGCGTACTGAATACGGACAACATGAGCATTCTGGGCCTTACAATCGATTACGGGCCGTTTGGCTTCATCGACCGGTTCATGTGGGACCACGTGTGTAATGCCTCTGACACTGATGGACGCTATAGCTACGCACAACAGCCCTCTATATGCGCTTGGAATTGTGCTCGCCTTGCAGAATGCTTGGTTCGGGCAGTCGTGGATGTCACATCACCTCCGGGACAATCAGAAAATGAAGAATCCCGCAAGTCCCAAGAAACAGAGTTAATGCAGTGCTTCATGGATCGATTGACAGCCACTTTTATACCAACGTTTCAGCAATGCTACGTCGATAAAATGAGGAAAAAGGTAGGCTTCCGTGCTTCACGAGACCTCAGTTTTCGAAATGACTACCGCTTATGACAACTAGCTGTGTTTTTCGTCCACTTCGACTGGTTCTTTTTTGATCTCATTTTGTCTTCCACTTTTGCTCATCATGAGCCACCTCTCTCTACTCGCACAGCGGAGTGACTATGGTCTTGTGTACATATTGCATCTGTTTGCACTGCAGCTGGGTCTTCTTGGTCCACCAGTCATGGGTACAGACGATTCAGACGAGCAGTTGTTCAAGTCCCTATTCGACACAATGGAACAAACTGGTGCAGATTTCACAAACACATTTATTGTCCTGGAGGAAACCGTGGAATCCGGTGCTTCTATTGGGGTCGGTTCCTCCGAACCCATTTGTCTCAGTCCGGACATCGTAGTCCAAGAATGTTGTTCGCTCGATGAGCTTATGGATGCCTACGAGCCGTCTAGTTCTGATATGTGAGTCCCCCTACCCTCGGGATGTCAGTCACACAACGTTCAAACACCTGCGTAGTTTAGAGCACCCAGTGGTTATGCATAAATGACCGGAACATTAGCTAAGAGCTCTGGAATCACTATAAGCTGTCCCTTTAATGGTTATCGGGCGACCGATGCTTACGTTCCAACAGGTTATTTCTTTTGTAGTGCTCCTCTGAATGACTGTGTTTGTGGTGCAGTTACCCCGTTTTGGAGAGACCACTTTAAAAGACCAGTCAAACAATATCTCCTGATTGCCTTTTCCGAAGAGGATTTTGCAGTTGAAGAGTAATACAGGCGACCAGTTTAAATTGGTATACTGACCTGTCAGTTTGTATGCTGAATTTGATAACTTTGTTTCAAACATCGTTGAGTCTGATTGGTTGTTGATAGTCCTGAGAAGCCGTTGGTTACCCTAATTCCTGGTTACCTGTTTCTTTTTGACTTCTTATAATCTGAGTTCTCTAGCCCCACACCAGAATTCCTCTCCCATTGATGTGTTCGGCTCATCTTCACAGTTGACGTTTTCGCAAGGAAATCATTAAGACGCCTTTTTCACTTACCGTTTTGCTGACCGTTGCTTTCTTAGAGCCAGTCGATTGTATCTGTTGATTTAGGGCGTGACTATCTCCGGTAACAAAAGCCTTCTCCATCTCCCGAGCTTTTGAAGACTACCAAAGCTCTTGGTCTCTAGGCTCTTCACTATTCGGCGTTCGAGGGATTTGCGTGCTCCGTCGTACTCGTTGTCTGCTGGTGTGGAATTCTCGGCATCGATCAGGACTAGCGATCTCGACGATATCCAGTGGTCATTTGGTCGTATCGGTGGGGCGAGATGGCTCAGTGGTTAGAGCGTAAATTTGCTGACCGGAAGGTCTGTGGTTCGAATCCCACTTCTGCCTCTCGACTTCCCCTGTCTAGGCTTGGGCAACCTGGCAGTATCCCAGCCCTCGTGCTTCCTTCCGGTGAAATGACAGTTACGCACCGGAAGGGGGCTACAGCTGAACTTATAGGAGAGGTCGGACAGATGGCACTGAACGCCGCTAGCATAGCTCCTTTCACATTTTGCAATGCTTCATCCACGTGCTCGGTGCTAGTACAGTATTAGTTTACTGTGGAGAGTTGTTGGGCTAGCTCAGAGCGATACTGTTAAGCTATGATAGCTCTTCGAAAATAGTGGATTGGCATGCTTCTTGCTGAATTGCGTGCACGCACCATGGCGTGATCAGAATCAAGTTGTGTGGGCAATCTTGAATTGTAACTCTCCACCGGCGGCTGATAGCTACGTGATCCAACTGGATCTATGGTTGACTGCAGTTGTTGGCCGCCAGATTACGCGATGCGAACGTTTATGCTGAAAGTTCGTACTGACCAGAAACAGTTAATGATTAGCACACACTTGAGGGAGTCGCCCTCTGCTATCTGTGCGACGAGCATCGACTCAGAATAGACCGCCCAGGTGTAATTCCAAGAAGTTCAGATGACTGACTTGAGCTGTCATGTCACCCGCAAGGATCACAATGCCAGTGCTTCTTGCTCGACGAATGAGCCCAGATAGCTCTCGATAGAAAGTATTCTCAGCATCAGAACTAGTCGGGGCATAAGCTGACACTACAAACGGACAGTCGAGAGACAGTAAGCTTGGTTGAGCTAGATAACCGGACAACGCAAAGACGGCTGTTAACTGGGATCCAATCCAACAAAGCGCGTTCGGTTCTGGGGCTGAGTGCAACTCCAAGCCATATATTCCACGAGTCATCACTTCTGGGTCACCGGACTCCCGGAGGGAGAAAGGTGAGAGAGTCTATCTTTGATGTTCTGAGATGCATAACCATGTTTTAGTCTTGTATGTGTGTTTCGGTGATAGAGCGTACATATGTTTTATGGATGTGTAAATTCTGACGCCTTCTGAATGCGCCATTGGCAACAGGCATTCGGCCAATACTAGGTCATGATCTGCTGTTGGGTCCAGACTTTCGACTAATCAGATCTTGGCTTGATGCCGGACCGGCAAGCCTCCCGAACTTTGGGCAATCTTTCGCGGGATAAACTTCTCGGCCGTAGTAGCACCTGACTGCGGTAAAGCGGGATCCGTGTGGAATTCCGCCTAACAGTCTGATTTTATAGTAGGGAGGGGTTAGGAAGGCATATCATTGGACACAGAACTGTGCGGGCAGATGGTGCTTCCCAGTTGCTTAGGCCAAGAAATGGGGTTCGGTTGAGATATCTCACCTTAAGCCTTTGACTCAAAAGTTTGACCCGCTAGGCAGCGAGCAATGGGGTTTCCTTTGGATGCTCTTTCAGGCGTCGATGACTCAATATTCTGACCTGCTTGGTTGCAGGGGGTCGGCCTAACCCGAGAGCGCAGTGAGTAAGGCACTACTGTCTCATTCCTGATGCGGCTGTGCACAGCAGGTGCCTTTTAAGCAGCACCGGACTTTTTGGTTTCAAAAATATTTTGACCGTATTGGATAATGCACTGACGGTCACGGTCAACCGTCGGGCGATTGGAATGTATGGCTTTTAGGGCCGATCTTTTTTTAACCCGTCCTTCCTCGAGGGAAAGTGGCATCGGTGCTTTCATGGATATGGAAATGCTGGCCGCCTGGAGGAAACACCTCGCTGTCTTTCCACTCATATCACAGAAGATTGTACCTTTTCACCCCCAGACCGCGTCGTAGCACGATTACTCGTAGTACGAGGTTTCGCTGCTCTTTGTCTGACTGCTCCCCTTTGACCTTCTTGGCAAGATTGCACCTTGTGGAACAAAGTTCTAGCCAGTGTAGCCTGCGGGTTCATTGCAGCACTCAAGCCTCACAGCTTTAGGTTGAGGGTGAATGAACTTGATATAATACAACTTTTCAGTTGATTTACTGACGTGGAATAATCAGCTTCTATGAACTCCTTTGTTGTTTTCTATTCTTGCTTGATATTGACCAAAGATGGAAAATATACCAACAGAAATACCTAGTCAAACAACTAGTCCCAATCGGTCGTCAAGCATTGTGCTTAGAACCTCTGTAACTCACCGTAGTTCTAGGTTAAAACTAGCGCATAGCTTATGTTATCTCGATTGTGAACGACATGTCCACAAGAAATTTGTCAATCACGTAGGGATAGTGACACAACATGCGTTAGCAATCATCATTTCGAAAAAAACGTCACTGGCTTCTGCACACTTGTTTAGCGATCTGATTATTTCAAGTTTTAACCAGTACCGGTGACTCGCATATGGCACATTGTCGAGCCTCGTACAAACTTCAGATAACTCAGATATCCCTTGTCTGCAGTGTTTTAGTGGAAGTTTTACTAGGATTTTTTTCATTTTCGGAAGCCATCACATATGTGCTTTTAGGTTCCTGCTTTCGTCTCCCACGTCAATTCAGCTAACATTCATTTTGTTTTCTTTCAGTCAACAAGAAATGCTGCTTCGGTTCACTAGATTTGGCCGACAGTTTTTGGATCGTTTGAATCAGACTAAGGTTCTGAAACCGCAAGAGAAGGCAGCTCGAAGACAAGCGCTACAGGTTCGTCGGTCGTACAAGATTTGTCCTCCGAGGTTATTATGTTGTAGTTGCAGCTCTAGTTTTGTTGAGTTCTATTTTAGTTGTCATAATTCAACCCAATGGGCCATTTCTGCTCTTAAGTTTTCTTTTAGAGCTAGTAAGAACCCCTGAACCACAAAAGTCAGGTGTCCCTTGACCGTCCTGCTAATTTGCAGAGTCTCACTGTGCATTTTCGTTATATTTACATCCCTACTTTTCGTGCTTCGTCAGTTGTTAGGGTCGCTCTGTGTGAGCTGACTTAAAACCCACGTTTTCTTGCAGTGAGATTTGTCGTGTTAAGGAGAATGGTAAGGGTTGTTGAACTGTTCGCCAAGCTCAACCAACACCACTTCAAAGCCACAAGACTCTACTTCAACCACGCTGTCTATTCGACGAGTCCTGATAAGGATAAACCGACTACCTTAATTCCCGAGTATAAATTTGGTAGGCTTCTGTTAGCTCAAATTCATAAGGCTACCTGCTGCAGCACAATAAGTGTACCGCGTCAAACTGAATATTATGATTGTTTTCGGAGCGGTAACGTTCGGTTCAAGTTATCGAACAGGAAAGGACATGGGAATGGTTGAAAGGGGTCTGGCAGAAATAGTGGAAGCTGTAAATGTGAAAAAGAACGAAATAGACATCCAAAGTTTATTCCATTATTTCTGCTAAATTAGAGGTGGAGGGGGGCGAGATTGCTCAAGTAGTTAGAGCGCGAATTTACTGATCGGAAGGTCCGTGGTTTGAACCCGACCTCCGCCACTCGACTTCCCCTGTCTAGGCCTGACAGTATTCCAGCCCTCGTGCTTTCTTCGGGTAGCATGTCAGCTAGGCACCGGAAGGGTGTTACAGCTGAAGGGTTTATTATTTTTAGAGGTGGTTTTAAACCCATTTTTTCCATGCATAAAACTGTTTTTGGTCTCCTGATGACAAACTTGTCTGCCAAGAGAAAGACACTGAATCTATTCTGGCGAACAGTGACTCTAGATACGTCTAGTATTCCTGTACATCAAGTGTCTGTGCACTACTTTGTTATGGTTGTTTCAGGTCGTTTGTCAGCCGTTATAAAAAAGTTACTAGTAAGTATTTTGAGCTGTGTTGCTTATTATCTCTAACTGTTCGTGTATAAAAAAACTAAATCGTTCAGCCGTGACACCATTCCGGTGCCTAGCTGGCATGCCAACCGAAGGAAGCAAGAGGGCTGGGATACTTCCGGGTTGCCCAAGCCTAGACAGGGGAAGTCGAGAGGCAGAGGTCGGGTTCGAACCACGGACTTTCTGGTCACTTGAGCCATTTCGCCCCAAACTGTTCGTGTGCTTCCCCGCCTACACTTGTATTCCTATCCCTAGTTGGGAGTGGTCGGAGTACACAGACTGTCCATTACCGACAGAACTGTTATTCTCAATGCTTTGAATAGACTCGTCAAATCACTTGCATCGAACGAAATCACGCGAGCGCAAACAATATTCGAACTATCGCCTGTCCTTCACGCTTATTTAAAAATCAGAAGCCGTTACCAGCTGATTGTTGGGTTGTTGAGCAACTTGAGTCAAGTGAAAAGCTGCGTTTGCAACATTATTTAGATTTAAACCCATGCTCAGATCTGTTGTGTCTAGGTGATCGCATTCATCACGTGGGTCCGGTAATGAGAGGTCTGCTCTGGGCCATGGCACTAATTGCGTGCCATAGTGATATGAGGGTAATAGTATCGGAGTCTACAATCGGAAAAGCTGCTTTTTTCTAATGTGTGCGGGTCGAGATGGCACGGACGCTAAACTTTGGTCTTGCTCGGATAGCCGTTGTTCCACTCTGACCCAATTACTCCTCAAGGTTAAAAAGGATAGTGGTACTAATTTGTGTGTGCTTTAATGTAAGCTGATGTGTTTTGGTGGGAAATGTTGATATAACTGCGTATCTAACAGAGAAAGACGCCAGTGCTGGTTTACTACAGTAACTTCTGCGTACCATGCAGCCTTCTACTAAATTTTGGCTTTCAATGTAAATGCTTACCTAGTAAGTGCATTAATTCCACGGTTCACTTCATCTAATTCGTATCGAATGTAAGATGTTGCAAAATTATGTCAGTTCCAGTAATTCTGTCGGTGTTCATTTTCCGTATTTGTTTCTAGGTTGTCTGTGGGAACCGCCGCTTCACATGAAGTATACTGAAAGTGCATCCTCCCTTCCATTTCAGAACATGTCAGAAGCTGATAAGGCGTCGCATGATCGAGCTCTGTGGAAAATCTGGTTAGATGCGTATTCCGAGAGGCTTTCGCATGACATTCAGGTCAAACCGAAGGCTTCTATCGCTGACCGATTAAAATTAATGCGCTCAGTGAATCCACGCATTGTCCTAAGAAACTACATGGCTGAAGAAGCGATCAGAGCAGCTGAGTCTGGTGATTTCGCGGTTGTTCGACAGCTATTGGATGATCTTCGCCGGCCTTATTTGTACTCTGACCACCAACTCCACAGAACCCGATTTAGTGAACACTCCCCAGAAGACATGACTAACGAAGTGAGCGGTTCAGTTCTCAGTGTGACATTCCCATTGCAACTACAAACCACACACGCGTGCGCAGCGCTTTATGCTGTGCGTTATTTGAGCGCAAGCGGTTGTTTGTACGTTACCTATGGATTGGTATATTTGAAGGAGGGGGAGCAGGACGTAGAGTTAGGATAAGGGGTTCTCCCCGGTTAATTTTTCTGTGTTGGTCTAATGGACTGTTGTGGTCAACATCAACAAAATGACTGACACAATCTCCGTCATTGGAGAATCAGATGTCAAGTCATATATATATATTCCTTCCTGTGTGAATTCGGCCTCATTTGAAGTGCGTGTGCATTCTGAAAGCCCACGTGATCCTGCCTGCGGGGATGAGCCCGAATCACCACACTTTCTGTTGTTGTCAGGTCTCTCCGGCCCTAAAGGGGCGTGACATTTGTCTTGATTCTGAAAGCCCTGCGTGTATCTGTGGTCAGTTTGAGCATTGGATCATGTAAACAAATTTAGTGCGGCCATCGTTTGCAGCCCGACCGTTCCACGCCGAACGTCATCCATGCGAATTCTTCGGTCATGATTTATCCTCTGGTTTATCGGCAAGGTAATTGAGCAACGGATTGGTAAGTTGTTATAGACCTCTCAATGGTAGTCACGGTCATTGGGCTTCTTCGTTAATGAATAGCGCTCGTATTACTTTTTGTCAGTATTTTTAGACCAGTGAACTTTCATGGATAAGCCGTGTGATGGTATGGTTTCTCGGTCTAGTCTAGCGCTGAAGTTCGTCTCGTTCCTGACTTTTTCATGATCTTTGTGGACTACTTGAATTTGAAGAAATTAGTTACAATTCAAGGCTGACGACGTCCTGCTTCAGAAGCTTTGTGACACCGATAAACAGTGCCTGTGAATGTCTCCCACTCAGGTTTCGTTTTTTCCGACCTGGAAGTGTGTGAACACCACTCGCGACCTCCAACAAATGCTTCCTATAAACTCCTCAACTGTCGACCACCGGTCATGTGATTGTGAACATTTGCGATCATCGTCCAAACGATGCTGTTCACTCTTACCATATAAATCCCGCGCAGTTGATCTGGACTGCGCGAAAAGCAACTGACCCCAGTTGCCACATCGCCCATACGAACCATCTTAACTAACCGTAATGCGGTTTCGTGAACAAGCATCTCCGTCTTTTCGGCTATCCTAGCTGCAACCGCCTAATGATGGAAACAGACTAAACAACTAGGACTACAACAGCTTTTTTACGGAAAAGCTAATAGAAAAGTGGAAAGAACATCGTGGTATTTGAAGCCCATTTGTGAACTTGAATCCAGGCTGTTCGATCGGTGTTTGGTTGGTGTTGGCTATACCACGTGACCGAACATTCTAGAATCGTTAGTCGTCGCTGATGGTCTGCTTGAGGGTCCAATCAGCAGCTGGCTTGTGCGGTCGGGAGTCTCGAAGGCTTTTCTTGTGCAATTCGGAGTGGAATTGGAGGTCCTCGATAACCTTGGGACACTAGGATTATTTTCATGATTCTGACCTCCCGGACAGATTTATTCATGCTTGAGGAGCTCTGCTAGCTTCGGACTCTAAAAGGAGGTGAACCAGTTTACTCACTGCATTGGTAAAGATTGATAACTTGTCTCTTTTCATATTTGGCATTAAACAGTAGACTGTCGGAGCGCTTTTAGAGAAAATAATGCTCAAAGTAAGGTAAATTTCAAATCACTTAATTATTAATTTGCTATATCCCATCCAGATTTGTGTCTTCGGCTGTGCTAGAAATGGTGAAAAATAAACCTCTTAAAAACCGAATATATGGTAATATATTTTTGATTTCGACGAAATCAGTTTTTGTTTTACGCCACAACCCAACACTGTGATCAACCGATTCGGTACCTTCATTGTTCGGGGCTACTTGCCGTTGGGAGCATTGCAAGACCCGTTGCCTGGACACTTTTGACCATGAGCATGAAATGTATCTCCGAGTTTAGAAACGGTATCGTTTTTCCTAACGCTTCTCCACTTATGGTGGTGCCTCATCTTAGACATTTACTGCCTTGTTTTGATCTTGTTTGCTCGTTAGGCTGATGATTAATGACGCTCTGGAAGGAATTTTCTCGACCGCCCTGACGTTGACCATATTTTTACTCTATTTTCAGCCTGCTACCAGTGGTTCTCACACTCAGCATCACGCAGTTTGTCATCGAGTTCGTCCTCCTGAATGGGCACGTGAACTCCGCGTCACATGATCCTCCTAAGCGATCGCAGAGGCTCATATATTGGTCTCCGACGTTCCAAGTCGAACACATTTGTTCGCGCCTCAGAAAACAGTTAAGTTTTGTGTATGCGATTCTCTCTTCCCTGCTGTTCAACTAGTGTACTGCATCTACCTTATGCAATTAATTTTACTCCGTATTCCTTCCCGAACTGGGATTTATGGAACTACTTCCTCCTCAAGAAACTCAGCAACATTCCTGAGATTATTACTCTCTATTCTGTGAGTGTCCCCACAACATCACGCCTGTGGAATTCCTCCAGTTTGGCACTGGCCTGCAGCCCAGTTGACCTTTGCGCATAGATTTTCAAGAGGCACTTTTCTGTTCATTTGATAGCAAGATCGCAGGAATGCGACGAGTTCGTAACAAGCAAAACTGTGACCGCGGACCTGAGCAGCTTTTCATGGCTTACTACAAGTCACCTGCCAAAGCTTTCATGGTTTAGAGATCTCATGCTGTCAGACAGAATATTCGTAGATTTCTCGGTTGACCGAGAAATTTTTTTGATAAAAATATCCCTTGGGATAACTGCTAAAAATTGGTGCATGTCATCCCAATCAGCAGAGTGATGACGCCAGAATATTGGACGAGAAAAGAAGTAGGTTATAGGAGACAGTGTGGGGGAACACCGAGGTGCTTATATAGGTTACCTGATGGGGTATGTCACCACCACTGATACCGAATCATCCCGTCTCAGTCGCTCCAAAATGCAGTAAAACCAAATACTACTGGTAATCGACCGCTGTGAATAGGCATGATGCTATTTAATGTTTAGTGATATCCGCATTTGACTCACCATTTGTTTTCTGAGTTTCTATGTTCGTGGACTTTCAAAGGGCAACTTGCCCGTGACCCTTCGAAGTGACATTCACTGGGAACAATTGTATGTAGCTTGGCATTCTTGATTATGTTTTACGCAACAGTCCCATTTTATCCACTTCGCTTTCCACAAGCGGCTGATCACTGTTTTTGTTCCTTTCAGACGGTTCCTGTTGCATTGCCTTCGATTCTGAATGACGCCATGGTCTTCAATACTGCAAGTCCAGACTAGTGGCTGATGATCTAGGTGATGCCGTGGAACATTACCTCCTTGACCTCTTGATTATTCTTAGATTGCGAAGTCATTTTTATGCTCTTGTTTATAATTCTCTGTTGTTTCTCATGCTTGAATGTCTTTCGTTTTGAATGTCACCTGCTTGTTATTGCACTTTTTATGATAAAATTCACTACCAGCTCGATCTAATGATTATCTGACTAGTCTATCCGGTGCTTCCACGGGTTTTGGACTGCCCTGTGCCGTTCGGTGGACCTCATAGACATTAGTTGTCAGGGAGCCCGTTAAAAACTTTATTTTGTTGTAACCGGTACCATCCATGTGTTGTTCAATTCTCCCACCTGCAGACCCGCTTTAGTTCTGTCTTCTGGTAGCGCAAAGAGAAAAATCTGCCAATCTCCTTGGGTTGAATCACCCACCCTGCATCGCAGTTGGTTTCGGGTTTTGCTTTTTGGTGAAGTCTTTGTGAATTGCATATGGTACGTACAACTAGCTTGATCATACCATAGAACATCCACTAAACGGGTGGCACGCAGATCATGAAGTGGTGTAAGCAAGACCAACAGAAGGTGCACAACCTAAGTATTGGACAAAACTTACTCTGCTACAGAGCTTGGCTGCCCGAACGGCTAATTTTCACCACACAAACTCATGGTAGATTTTCGAAACTGTCCTGCCGTCGTTGCGAATAATATTGAAAGGTACATTTTGCGCTGTCTGTCGGAAGCATCAAAACAAAGTGGTCGAACTTTGATAATACCAGTCTGACCACAAGCTGGCCAACTGAGTTTTTACGATTACATGTTTCTGAGTTTCGTTCAGGATTTTCGCACATATTTCCAATAACAAAGATGATACAAGGTTATTGACGTAATACGCTACTCATAAGGTTGCTGCAAATTCTTCGACAGTCCACGACCGGTTTCGCTCTTCTTGGGGTTCATCGAGTAGGCGCGATCCCCGAGTTTTCGTCAATTTTACGTTCTACATGAATCTAAATTGCATGAAATTAGCGAAGAACACTCGTTTGCAAACCAATTTGGTTTTGCGGGAGACTCACCTGGAACCAGGCTGGATCTCACGTTTACGGTGCTTTTAAGATTGTTTCCACACGCTTCGTTGAAATTGGGCATCTTTCCCTGCACATCTGTTGCTTAAGTATCAATGGAACCATCTTCTATATGTGTTACTGTAGCCTGCATGGGCCCGTCTTCCCGGCAAGCTTCTCTAAGTCAATACTCTTCTTACAAGATTTACACCCTTTGCCATTTGACTGAAAGCTTTGTTACAGAACAGAGTTTGGACATAAATATTGGCTTTTCGGTGGATTTATGCTTTCGCGTGACTTGTCGGCTGAGCTAAATTTCAGGTGTCACCCATTCTCTAATTCGGAGGTTATCCAGTCGGTGGCAATGGATGTTTTCAAATAGGCATTAGAAGTCCAGATTTTTACAGTGATTTCAAGGATTAGAACTACAGAGTTTGAATTCTGAGGGCACATTTGCTGTAGTGAGTTAGTGAACAGTACCCTCGCCTTGGTTCTCACTAAACTACACCGTGGCCCAATTTTGAGCGGACCTTGGATGGAGGCGCCAGAATGCAGTGCTCCTCGTAATGGCAGCTGGACCGCTTTGCGGTATCGAAGCTGCTGGTGTGTTTATAAGAATTTAGTCTATGTGGGATACGAGACTCGTGGATAGATGTGCAACATTGTTCCATTCAATGGAGGAGGCGGTCCTGTTTATCTGTTTCATCTGTGTCCATACAAAGGGGACTGTTTAATCACCTACTATTTATTGTTACTTTGCGTGATCTACGCTCGAAGTATATGGATGAGTCTAATCAACTACGGCACTGTGACCTAGTATGCTACCTTTTTCAAACTGATTAATGCTCAACCAAGTGCGTTTTGACATAAAGATACTTGAGGAGAGCAAAGAAACTTCTCAATCGTTTTCTCATCCATACATCCAGTAATCCAGCTAGAAACGTATTTTCCTCTCAACTTCATGAATCAATCATTTTTGGATAGCGTTCGATGATAGTCTGTCCATGTCTTCCAAACCTTTGACATGCACATGCCACAGTTTTGGACCCTGGTCGCCGTTCATAATGTAGATCACGATTGCGTTTGGACCTGTCGAGGCCGTATCAGTCTTCATGCATGACGCTGCATCTTTCGGGAAGTTTTGTTTCGTGCCAGAGAATAACCTGGGTGTGATTTTGGGTAAACATAATTGAAACACCTATTTTGAAGTCACTGACTCGAGAGCCTTTAAAGTAAACTGGTGCTACTGACCCAAACAAACGCTTTAAGTGCTTTGGGAATCTATTAGACTGCGCACATCAACATTTTTCTACTTGTACAACCGGGGATTATCGTTCACCCTTGCAGCTCTTCGCTCACCAGTCCTCCACGCCCATCGAATAATCCAGTGCGATCAACCCATTTGCCAGTCTCCTAGACATTGTTCCGCGTCTAAATCATCGCTCAGATGAGTAAACCAAAATGATCGCTTACAAACCCCAAAAGATCTAATCCGTATTGTCCATGCTCTACACCAAATTGGACAAAAGCCATCGTTTTCTGAAACCTTGTTCTTAATTTCTGTCGATGAATGGTGTCTCTGAAACACGCGTAAAAGACGCCACCGCGGTCGTTCATCTCAAGCCACTTAGGACGAGCTAAAATATTTCACTTTTCTGGCATTTAGTGATCCTGACGCAATGGCTTGATATTTACGGTGTGGCAGTTGCGATCGGTCCCAAGGCTGAAAGCAATCTGAAATGAATCCTTTGCGCTGTGCAGCTGTCTGGTGAAGAGAGAGTTTGATCTGTCGCTACTGCTTCGGTCAGCAAGGATATAGTCCTTGCGGGTAATATGAACACCGAAGTTGGACAACCAAGCCCGACAGAAGCACAACCAGTTGGTAGATTTTAAGTCGATGCGCGGCGTACGACAACGTGGAGTGAGTTCTTCAACTGTGTGCTAATCATCGTCTGTTTCTGACCAGTACGAGCTTCCAGCACAAATACTCAATGAGAGTTGCTCGTTCCCTCTAGGGTACGGAACTTAATTCGAATCATGCCATTAAGCGGGTCTTGGTATCCGTTTCTGTCAGCATTATGCGTGCCAAGGCAAAGTCATTCCATTCATCGACTTCGAGATGGTCTGGCCAGGATGGTGCTGGAAACGCACAGTCATGCGGATGACGAAGGTTACTGGAAGTTGAAGGGAAGCGAATCAAGCATCATGTGTCCTCAGTTTTCAGAACTGCTTGCCCAAGCCATCCGAAGTCAGCAGATCATATTGCTGCCTACCTGCGACTGTGATCATCATCATTATCAGCTGTAAGAACCGCGTCCTGGTTATACAGCGGTTGTAGCTGCCACAGTTTCGTTCACCGATGATTTGGGGAAGTGGCGAACACATCCTTTAAACCGGATAATCAAGAGTTTGAAGAATCTGAGGAATCTGGAGAATCGCCTTCAATGCGCAGCTACGCAGTCCTCGAACTAACGGAAAGTACCATCGCCTCCAATGCTCGGTTCTGTGTTCCACATTGACCCTTTTCTCTGATGATCTAAACAGGTAACCGGAACCAATGTACCCTTGTTACATGGTTTATTGCTGACGAACTGAACGGAACTGACTGGAGTGTTTGTAGCTCACGTCGTATAGATGAGTGTTATTTTTGTGTGGTGAGCAGACGGAAGGATGCCTTAAGCTAATCATTCCGTATGATTTCTAACAAAAGTCCCTCATATGGACGCATCTGGGTGGATAAGAGAGGTGTGTTGTAGGTTGATGTGGGATCAATAGGATTTGAATCATCATTTGACCAGTCTTTCTCACTTTTTGACGCGATTATTCTAGTTGGCCCACACCAGACAGTGGATGTAAGATGAGTATACTCCACCAGTGCACACTAGATGCACCTGAACTACCAAGTCTGAACGGACGAGCATGTTAGCACTTGAACAATGCTGCTGGTTTTTCCAACACCTGGAAGATTGTGACAGACAGGTTGGTCGGTTAAATGTGAGGATTCTTATGACCCGGCTTTGGAAGATGAACTATTTCGCGTCACATTACTCCTACCTGTCCGGTTCTGCATTCGTGATCAATCAGAAGCCGTGCAGTTCTGTTTCTCGTCGATGTCTGTGAACCCACTGAGTGACTCGTTTTTGTGAGTCCTCACTCATAGAAGCCAGAACACGGGTCATAGTAGTGGCGGATGAAATAAGTGGTGTTGCTCGGACACTGCTGCCTTCATAAGAACGTGCACCCAAGTGTGTGATTTATCTAGATGATGGAAACGAGATTGTATTGGAAAGGTTTTTGCAAACGTAAATTAAAATTAAAGGTAGTAATATAGTGTTTGACGGCCCAACAGTGGTATACCGCGTTAACTGCCTTCGTTTCTGCGTGCTGCCCAGTATGACTTAAAAACAGTTAGCAGTCACGTTATTTTCATTCCTAATGCGCGTCACTAAGACCCCTCCCCTGGATAACCTTTGTCAGAAAGGGCTGTTAAATTGTCTGGATTAAATGGCCACTTTTTTAGAAGGCAAGCATCTGGACCTCAGTCGGGGAGCTACTGGTAACTGTTCGTTCACCAAGTGGACTCGTTCGCCCTACCTCCGTAGCAATCGCTGTGGTCCTTGGGGGCTATTTTTGCTGCATTTGATTCCGGCTACTGAAATAAGTAAGTAGCTGGGAAGCAAGCGTCTAACCAGCAACCAGCGCAGTGTCTCCCATTCCTCTAACTGTTTACGGGGACATGAAATTTAATGAGTGATCAGACAATCGAAATACTAGCTAGGAAACTGTTTATTTCTACAAATTATTTTCCTGAAGCAAGGGGCAGTAGTACTGAAGTAAATGTAGCCTCAACAGAGGGATAGCTCTCAGTAGTCACATGAGACATGCACACATGCGCGCTTTCCTCCGGTGGTGCTAGCTTCGCATTCAGTAAAGACTTGTCAGAGGAAAAACTTTATACGCTCTATCTCCTCACCCTAATGGCATACTCATAACGCAAGACTACTTCTGTTGAGTGAGCTACACTGGTGAAAAAGGTGGAGCAGAGTTTCTCGTTGCACATATTCGGAAACAGCACATGTACAGGTGGCGAGGACTGGAAGACAGCAGCCGATGTGAAGGTGCCATAGGGTTCTGTGCTAGGCCATGTGGTCAAATTCATCAAAAACAAGTGAGCGTTTCGATTTGCCCATTCAGTGCATGCGATTCGAGTGAGGACGATCAAGGCCATGCCACCAGCAACCATGGAGGCACCATGGCTTCTACATCATCATCAGTTCCTAGCTTGATAATAATCTGCACTTTGCTCCAATGAAAGTTCAAGCAAGGGGATGTAATAGCTTGATAATAATCTGCACTTTGCTCCAAGCAAGGGGATGTAACAGACGCCCCACCATTTAGCTACAACTATGCTTCCACGCTGTCTTTTATTTTTTGTGTGTGACATATTTACATTGAAAAGGCATGTGCCATAAAAGCCTCTGTATACTGGCTACACATCCTTTCTAGTGCCTTGGATTATGGGAAAATCATTGTTTCACTTCATTGCTCTTTTTTTCTGGCAATACTTCAAGCATCTGGTCCAAAGTCGTTCGCACATGCTGGTTTTCAGCACTCATTCGATTGCTCATCTCCGGCTGCAAATTAATCTAGACTATCAGTTTTCATCCACATTCGATAGTTTTTTTCTTGTTTCCCTCCGTAATTCCGGTTCTAGCTGACCGTAAAGGCTTTCAAGGTTATGCAGTCGAAGTCCGGAAATACGAAATCGGCTTTTCTGTCGGTAAACCATATCACACGGCGTCAGCAGGTGACATATGATCCACGTTTTCCGTAACATTCATGGGTCGTGGGAAACGCACAAGTTGGCACATGAGACAAGCATCGAATAAACCGCTGGCGTTCAGTAACACGTATGACATCCAAGCGGGTGGAAGAAAGTGTAAATTAATCCATACTATGAAAGAATTTCTTGCAGCAGCGATCAAAATTTCCCATTCCCAGAGTTTAGTCTCTAGAGACTTGCAAGTACGCCACGGGAACAAATACCCCGGTACAGGGTGTAGGTGATAAAACTTACCACAACTATCAGTAAATCGCGAGTAATTTATCAAATGTCTCGAGATTGTCTGTATGCCACCCATTTTGCTGAAGTTCGTCAACGTGACATCGAAATCGAGGGATAAGATCGAGTCATTAGTCTCGGCAAATTTACTGTACAAAGGACTTTGTAAAAGCACATAGATTCCACTATGAAGGAAAACCCCTATACGGAAGACAATTTTCTTGAACCTGAACAGTTTACTCAAAGAGAAATCCGCAAGCTTGTGAGCGCTTGACTGAAGACCAACCGATCTGGATTGTGTTCAGTACGGACTTTGTTCACCAAAATCGTTCAAACATGATCAACGTTCCCTTACTTAACCTTATTTTCCACCTGACCAGGTAGACCTGACAGCATGTACGGGGCATGTGGTGGGTATGACTCAGCCCAACCGTTACAACCAAGTACCGGTTGTTTGTGTTCCTCTCAAAGCTGAGCTGCACTGTCGCCTGGTAGAGCCATAATCGCATTCGACCCAGCGTCATTCGGTTCCAGCACTTTTTTCGCTGTGACTTTGGCTTACAATCGATTGTCGTGTGTAATGAAGACCTAATTAGCATAAATAGAGTGAACGTGATCAAAATTTTCTGACTGCAGCACGTGGAAACATTCACGCTAATTTTGAAGGGACCTAAATAGGGTCGATGTAGCTCAACAAGGATCCCAGCTATGTAAGGAGGTGGTCCAACTTCGTTCATTTTGAAGAAAGCCAAATCCCCTAGGGGAAAACCTCCTTCACTAGAGTGCCACTTCAGTTGGTGCGTAGGTAATCTCTAGAGAACAGTTACTTTATGAATTGACCTATGGATGTTAAAGTACACTGACAGCTCTAATCACTTGGTAATGGATTAATACAAGCAGCTGGCCTGTGCGCATGGTTGGGATCACCTAAATGATCGTGACGTGCAAAACAGTGTCTGCTGCGCCAGTGTTTATCTGGAGATGAGAGCTGTAGACAGCAGGTGATGATACAGTAAGATTTGTTGTGTGTATAGTAACGGAGTTGTGTTCTAATCCACTGTTTGGGTCGTTCCGACGACTTACTATCGATTCGAGTTGTCAAGTGCATATAATCCATATGGCTGCATTCCTGTTATCAAACAGCAGACTTCACCCACTATAATGGATGTGCGTATTCTGATTACCGATGGAAAGTGCAAACAAATGGGATGACCTAATCTCGTCTAGTGCTAATGGGTCGGTGCGGCTTAAACAGCAAATGTTTTTACGTATGTCGAAATTGAGGACCCAAGCATTCATGCGTGACCGGCAGATTGATATTCAGAATCTGAACCCACCGACGGCACTATGCAATAATTTGCACGCAATAGGACAAGAATAGGAGCATATGGCTTCCTTTGAGTAGCCGTCTTCCTTTTCGAAGTGACCACACAGTGTGTCCGCCTGACCACAAGCGGTACTCTGTACTCTCGAGGTCGCTTCTTCGGGGAAAGTTCTCACGTCATTCTATACGACAACCTGGTGCATTGTGACTAATTTTATTTCAGTTTTCGGGTGATTTATATCAAGTGAGGGAGCGGTTGTGTGTAAAAGCTTCGGAGAAAACGTGCCGGAAACTCACGGGAATAGTTACCGGCACAAAAGATTTCATTGACCGACGTCGTCGCTATGAATGTTATTAACTTGTCGTTGACTAGATCGTGTGAGCTACCAACAGCAAAGTAATCAAAGCAATAAATTCCTTGTAATGACACCATCGTGTATAAATCGGCGCGTACCAACC